ACTGAATTGACCGAGACAGGTTTGGCTGTGGCCCTTGTCCTAGTGATGCATATCCTGGGTGTAAATGAATGTGTGAGCCAGGTTTTCCTCTGATGACTGCCCTACTAGAGGTAGATATATATTCTGATCCAAACAGGAAATAAAATGCATGAGACACAGTAAGATAAAACATAAAACTGCAATGCATCTGAAAAGGCAAGGTAATCTGAAACAACAAAAAGGCCATTCATCTTCTTTCCGTTATTGTTTTCATGTATTTTATTTTAAAGATTGTGTTTTTTGTCATATATATATATATATAGTTGTTGGTTAGTTTTTTCTTAAGATGTTTCTTTCAAGATATTTCCTAAGCCTCCCGGGGTGTTCTTTTCTCATGTGGCAAATACAAGTTTTTTTGGTTTGTTTGTTTTTTCATTTTTTAAAAAGGTATATTATTTTTTGTGAGCCACTTAACCACGCAAAACTTGCCTTTGAATTTCTTATGCTAGTTGTTTATCTTTTACAGACACAGTCAGACAAATACAAAATAGATAATTTATTGGCAATTTTCAAAATATAATTTTCCAAAACTAAAAAGTAGTAAAAGGACCATGTAGCTGCAATTAAAACTTGATGAAAGTACCCTATAACAGCATATAAAAACCTCTTTCAACTAATCTAACATTACTGATTTTCATATATGCTATCAAAACACAGTTCTTAGTATTTTAAATGTATAATGATGTGTAAAAAGTAAGTACTATTGAACGTTTAACGCTGAAATGCTGCATATATATTCCTATGTTTGTGGAGTGGACTGCTGCACACTCTTTACAGGAATGAGGCATTTCACCAAAGCTGTGTTCACAGACTGGACTGTGTGGAGTTTCCTGGGTGGAGCAGAAGGACTATTTTATATGAACTGTGAGCTGCATTAAAGTGTGTTAAGTAGTAGACAGTTAAGTACTGGAGAGTACTTTGAGGACTGATATCTAGAGGACACTTCCAGGTGATGATACTTCACATGCTGCTGCCGGAAGCCACACTCAATAAAGGTGGTGTGTGGAGAAGGAGGAAACTCAAGAGTCTCCTGCAGAGACAAAGATGGAGAGACCAGTGAATAACTAGTGGACTTGACAGAATTTCCAAGTCAGGTAATAATTCATGAATATATGGTAAAAGACCAGGTAGAGAACACATCCCCCATCCATACACACTCACACTTAAAAAAACACTAAAGCACCATTTATTCATGTTTTGCTGGTCTATTTCAGTTTCATTATAAATTATTTGCTTAGTACACACATCTAACTGCACTAGAAAAAATGTTTTTTTTCTTGCATACTGCACATTTTTGCCATTATCACACATATTGATATGCCTGTCAGGACTTAAGCTGGTGTGTTACCCATAAAACAAACGGCAAAACTTATTAAATACCACTTCTGGTGTATTGCCTAGTACTAGGCTATTTATAAAAAATAAAGCAATGTTTATTTTCAACTTGGAAAAAAACAGGCAAAGTTGCTTACCTGCTTTTTATTCAGATGAAACATGAAACCCTTGGGATGATAAAGTGATCCTGATACGGTTCTCATACCCTGAAGAATTTTTCTGTAATTCAGTTCTGATTTTTTAATATGGTGCAACAACGGGAACAGTAGGAGTCTACTGCAGCAAAGACCCGGGAAGAATTTTTATTTTCTTGTCAGTAATAGGTTATCAACCTGGATCCGTGACCTTGCTGTAACTTCTATCTCTGGCAACCATACAATTTAGTTTTCTTAGTCAAAAAACCTTCAAAAGCTGAGTGTATCACAAGGAATCAAATCTTCCAACTGTCCACACAATCCATGTTGACTTCATGTTGTACTGAACAAGACAGCGACGTTTTAAACACGTTTTAAATTTAGTTATCAGTATTACATTATTTAGGATGTTTTAAACAAAGAAGACATTCATGTAAGGTTTAATAATCAATGAAAATCACATCTTCAAAACAAATCTGTTCTGGTCCAAGCAAGAAATGCAAAAAGTAAGCTTAAGAAACTCTTCAATGAAGCATCTAGCTACACTGAGGAGGGTTAGTGAAACATTAGATGTGAGGTGGCTTATTTGTTTTGCCTTTCCACTGCCTCAGCTTGTGGTGTCTCCTCATAGTGTCCAGTTAAGCATGGCTCCATCTCTCCTTTAACAAATGCTTCCAGGCCTTCAAATTCCCAATTCCCAAACTTTGTTACATGGCAGATTTCATGTGTCTCAGGGTCTGCTGGCTCCTCTTTGACTTATTTACAGCTAACATCATTCCAGCTCATGTTCTCCTGTTCCTTTTTCAACTCTTCTGTACTTTGTGCAATGCAGTTTTTAGTGCGTCCTTGTTTCTGCAGCCCCGATTGTGTTAATAAGGGTGTGTCCTTCACTGTGTGTCCTTTGGGTCTCCCAGGTCCCTTTTGGGGCACATCATTTTGTTTTTCAGGGGAATTTGGCTCTGTTTGTCATGTTTTTTTTAGGGCATCCTCATCTTCTTTTTGCAGACCTGATCATAATAATAACTCTCCTTCATTGGGCTGTAAGGTATTCTTTTTGGGCTTTTAATTAATTAGTTTTTCAGAAGAAGATTCCTGCACAGTAATGTTTTCATTTTCAGGCATCTTCTATTCTTTTTGGTAGTTTGTGGGCTGACAAGATGACTGCTGGCCAAAGATAGTTAGAGATAACTAGATAGTTCCTCATCCCCTGGTACAGTTCCAGTCTGGTCCCCTTTTGAATGAGTGGATATTCATCTTACCTGCCACAATAGTTTTCTCCTCGGTGTGTGCAGTCTTTTGAGGATGCTGAAGTCCCGTCTTGGCAGACCGGGTCATCTTATCGGCTGCCTTCCTCTTCAGTGTAGAGGAAATCGTCTATAGATAAAGAAGGCAGAAGCAGCAAGCTTACCAAAACATGCTATTACAACATACTATGCAAAAAGTAAAATAATGTCAATTTTTAATGCTCATTTTCTTTTAATCGCATGCATTTAATTCAGAATAGCAATTTAGCACCAGTAAATATTTACATTGCTGGCTATGTTTGAATACAAGTTATGTGCAAACACACTGAGGCTGTTGCTAAGTCATTATCTTATCAGTAGTTGAAACTAAGTTGGTTTGGAAATAATAATCACCCTCTCAGACTATGTCACCATAGCATTTCCTCCTTGCGTCTTGTAGATATGACCTAAATGCCATTAGAGGTCTCTGTATCTGAGTTTTTTATCTTTATCTTACTGCAAGCTGCCTTACATGTCACATATTGTTCTGTTTACTAATGCTGAGACCATGATAAAGTCTCTACAAGATGCATCATACGCAGTCACGAAGGCCGCTCTCCAGTAAGTGTGAATTAAAATGAAAATGTGTCAGTTCCCTTCAATTTATTTTAAATACAGAGAAGGTTATTGATTATATGACAAACTGAAGAGGCCATTTCACAGTAAACATGTGATGCTTGACCACCACATACATACAAAGAAAACCCAGACTTGTTTATTAATAAAGCATGTGAATTATATATATTTTTTATTATCTTTATAATTCTGTAAAAAGGTGAGTAACATTGAGAGCAACTGAAAACTGTAACTTACACATACTTGGCCAATAAAGCGGATACTGCTATGTAAAAATATTTTCCCTGTTCATTTGTAAAAAACTGTTTTGTGTGGGTTGATTGAAAAGAACCAATTTTAAATTATGCAATTCTGAAGAAAGGGTATATTAAAATCATGTTAGTCATGTAAACTGATGAGAATAAAAGTAGTAAGACAAAATGTGCTGACTTCCATTAGCCATTGAATTGTAAACTGTAAAGGACATTGTAAAACAACATTTGAGGAAGGATATGAGAAAACTGAACTTACCGGCGCGCCTGAATTTCGACATTTCTTGAATGGTGCTTCTGGAGGAGTTTAAACCAACACCCTGCAGTGCTTTCGGCCTACATAGCTACACTTTAAAACCTCAACTCGACTCCACAAGGCACTGCTCATCTTCCACCAGCGTTACATTCATAGACATAAATACATTTATATAAATCCATGCTTCTAACGGCCAAGTCACGTAGCAACGGTGGTAGCATGGGGTTGTTTATTGTTGTTTGGTCTGCTTTATCTCAGTAAAGTTACTCCCGCCTGCTTGTGTATACCAGGTTATAAATGTTTGAACATCTTTGAACCCAAAGCTCACTCTTTTTCACTCTGAATTTGACGAATTACGGGTAAACGTTAGGAGTTAAACTGACCGACTGTGTTGCAACTTTCACGTTCGAGAACTGCCCGCTAAAAATAGGGTTAGGCTTGTTTTATACGCGCACCTGCCTCCCGGGGGCGGAGCTTCTTCCATACGCACATTGAACGCAAAGTACGGAGGACCGCCCATCGTTCCGCCGGTGTACCCCGTGCCTTGAATCAACGCTCAGTTAACAGCAGCGTAAATAGAGCAGAACAGCATGGGAACTTTCAGCGTTGAGCTTGTTTTGATTTCTGGATAATATGTCCTATGTAACAATACGACTTATATCAGTACAAAGTATCAAATAAGGATAACTTCCCGACCCCAAAATATTCAAATGTTGTGCTATTCAATTACAGTTGCTATACACTCAAGATAGGAAACCAATTAGATGCAGAATAAGTCGTTTTATAAGCTAATTTCATAGCTGGAAGACCAACAAAAGACCACTTTATTTTCCAAGAAAGGAAAAATTCAGTTTACTGTAAAGGGGTTCATGATTCAGACAGTAAAACTATTAAATTAAAACTATTAATCCTGCTCCTAAACCCTAGCCTCTAGAGCAGGCTTTCTTTTTTTGACATCAATCATCTATTACAATTTGTCAGTAATGGTGTTGACTGTTATTTTTAGCATTCTGATACATTGCCAATTGTCCAGTTTTCAGTTTCTGGTGAAATACGGACGTTCTCATTTTACATGTGTGCACAAATGTCTCAAATAGTATGGCCTCTCCCAGTGACTTAACACACAGTAACATCACACATAGTGTTCATGCATTCATCAAATAATTTATTACAATTTTATTTACAAATAATACAGAATTGTTCTGTGGGGGAAAACCATCCATTAAATAAATGTCCCACTTAACTCTGCCTGATACAAACACCCGCTATAATAGTGTCTACCCTGGAAAAAAAATTCATACAAGGCCTGGTTTAGTGCTGTAAAAAAGTTCCATGCAGTGTGAGTTACGTGTTCAATTTATTTTTTCATACTTTAAATAAGTTAAAACAGTCTTCTGAGTGGTTACAGAAAGATCATATAAATAATTATATACAGATATGAGTTTTGACTTAAACACATTCATCAACAAAAATCTAAATTAATGTATACAGCTCCTAAAAATACCACTTTAAATCCAGCCCGGCTTATTTACAGTCCTTTCAAGTCAGCGACATTTAGCCACATGCCCAGACAGATGGTGAGAGCGAGCGAACCTGCGGAGGCAGTTGGGGCAGGAATACGGCTTCTCCCCTGTGTGAGTTAACATGTGAGTTTTCAAATGGCCTGACAAGCGAAAACTTTTCCCACACTCTTGACACGTGTATGGACGCAGGTTAGTGTGACTCCTCCTGTGCTTACCCAGATCACCAGAGGAGGTGTAACAGCGGTGGCAGTCTGGACATTCAAAGGGTTTTTCCCCAGAGTGTATCCTCTTGTGTTTCACCAGGTCGCCTGACTGAGTGAAACTCTTGTCACATTCAGTGCATTTGTAGGGTCTCTCACCAGTGTGGGTACGCTGGTGGTTTCGCAGGTGTGAAAGACGAATGAACCTATTGCCACAGACTGTGCAGTGGTAAGGCCTTTCTCCGGTGTGTGTCCGCAGGTGTATTTTCAAAGCCCCGATATCTCCGATCTTCAGCCCACAGTCGCCACACTGGTGAGCCTTCTCATTGGTGTGAACTTTGGAGTGAACCCTCAGGTTTCTCTGGGTGTTAAAGTTCTTACCGCACACGTTGCAGTGAAACGGTTTCTCACTGGAGTGCGTCCTCAGGTGGAGATCCAGACTTGACTTGAAACCAAACTCCTTTCCACATTCGGAGCAACAGTATTCCTTCTTGCCCGAGTGTGTGGTTAAGTGGCACTTGAGGTGGTGTGCTCTTAAAAAGGCCTTCCCGCACACTTGACATTTGTGCGGCTTCTCCCCTATGTGTATTTTCATGTGTTGACGCCAACCGCTGCGCTCCACGAACCTCCTGCCACAATCCTTGCATACGAACGGCCGGTCACCCGTGTGGGTGCGCATGTGATCCTCCAGGCTTTGGGGTGTGCATAGCTTTTTGCCACATTCAGGACACTCCACACCAGTGTCCAGGCAGATTGGCTTATCCTCAGGTTCTGTGTTATCCGGTTCATGACACAAATGAGGCCCTTGACCCCAGGTGGCTTTGAAGCTCTTCCCACAGTCGGCGCAGCTGAGATGCCCTCCTCTGGTAACCACAGACATGTTGTGCCAGCGCTGGCAGTGATTTTTCAGGTTCTTCAGGTACTGGAAGCTGCGTGCACAGGTCGGACAAGGGTGGAGCCTGCGGGGAGGGGCAGAAGGGTGGGCTTCACGTACATGGACCCTAAGGTGTACTTTAGAGTTAAAGGTGCTGCCGCAGACAGTGCAGGAGTGTTTGGGGATGAGATTTAGTGTGTGGCTTGAGAGGCATTTTTTTAGCTTGGCAAGATACTGTTTCTGATGGACCCACTTGACATGCTTCTCCAAGAAGTCCAAGTCAGTAAAAGAGACAGAGCAGTGAGGACATGGAAAGAAATCAGACGATGACTCTAAGGAGAGGAAGACACAGAAACAACACAGAAAGCACATCACATTAAAAAAAGGCAAGAATTTATGATTCACTCTTCCCTGTTATACTGACAATCTAAAATATACTGATTTAAAGTTATGAGATACAAAGTAAGGCTATTGTAGATACTAGAAATCCACTTTTTTTAGGGCCTCTATGACATTCAAACTGTTCCCACCACATCATCCAGCAATAGGATGCCTAACCAAAGAGGGTAAATATAAGTGAACGTACGTGTGCTTTCAACATGCTATTCCTAAGATAAAACATAGTAGTTTAACTCCGTTATAAAAATATATTTTTGCTAAGAAATGGCTACATATGATAGCCTGCCACTGCATTTGTACAACCAAAAATAAAAATCACCATGCTTTAGAATTGTACTTGGAATAGAGTAAGAGAATAAACACAATGAAAGCAGGTAACACCCTGGGATTGTGTGTTTCTCCTAAACTACTGCCTCCTACCTGTGCACACCTCCTCTCCCTCCTCTGCCTCCTCTTCGCTGCCTCTCTCCTCTTTAATCCATGACTCTGACTCCTCCTTGACAGCAGCTTCAGTGAATTCATATTCTGGCTGATCAGAGTCACACTCCTGCTTTATGTGTGCCTGCTGATGGTGAACATCTGAGCAGGATGTCACAGTGTCGGGCTTCGTGTCTGAACGGCTGGATGAGTCTCCACTGTGCTCCTCACTAATCTCCCGTGTGTGTGGTTCCTCCTTGATTAGGATGTTCAGATCACCACCATTAGTGTACACTTCCTCTAATTCAGATTCCGTTTTAACTGCGACCACATCGTGCTGTTTCTCTCCCGTCTTTGCTTTGTTTAGCAAAGACTTGTTCTTGGCAGATTTCATCTTCATGTTGTCACCATTAGGAGCTCGTCTTTTTAGTGTGCTGTGGAGCAGAGGGACACATTATTGAGGTGAGACATACAAGTCAATGTAATCGATATAAAAACAAAAACAAGCGGTAATCTTTCTGCAGGGTGACCGAATGAGAGTGGGTGAAATGTGGGACAGAGGGAGTGGGCGTGGTCACATATTTGTATTTGTTTGATATGATATCAAGCACAGTGTCGGGCTGTGTTTACAAGATGTGTGAAACATTCAACACATTATGTTATAGTTATTTTAGTTAACATTCATTAAGCTGAAGGAGCATACAACCGCATTTTAAACATATTTTTATCACTATATTATCTATCTCCATCACCTGGTTTAAAGGTCGTATGACATCAACAATTGGTTATTTATTATCCCAATCAGTGCAACAGGCAAGTGAAAACCTGTTAAAATACTTTTAAATATTTTACAGAAAGGAAAAGGATTTTTTTTTTTATAACTTTATACACATTTTTTTAATTCCTAACTAAAATCCAGCCCCCATTCAAAAGCTCTGCAAACCCAAGAGCTGAGCCTAGAAGAGAGTCCTCTATGTCAGCTGTGGGTGAGACTAACCGTGACTCAGTCTCACAACAACACTGCCCTCCAAACACCAACCAGAGGAAACCAAATTATAACGCAATGTAAAGAAACCTAACTAGATTAGAGTCATCTCACCCTAAAAAGAGATTATGAATTGGCAGACTGTCTCTCTACTGTCAGATATAAAGAGACAGATCCGAACCAAGTATAAGCTCAGTGACCACAAACTGGATGAAAAAAAAAAAGGAAGACACTACTTCATTTGAAGTTATTATTATCTTTTATTCATACATATATTTTTCACTTGCTTTGGTAATGTTTCCCATGCCAATAAAGCCCCTTTGAATTGAATTATAGCCTACATAAATGATTTGATCTGACTATTCCCACGGATTTATAGTTAAAAATAAAACTATTGATCTCCTAGTCTTCATGTAGACTAATTGATCATTTCTCCTTTATTCTGGTGACAGCAGCAGCTTGTTGCCTGTATGTCGCACCTATGTTATTAATTATAGCATTTCCTCAACATCACTGTCACCAAATCAGGTCTCATCTGCAACTACAACTCTTTGCACCATATCTATCTATCTATCTATCTATCTATTTATCTATCTATTTTTTTTACCTTCAAATCCCAAGTCATGTGAACTCTCTCAGCTTCACAGACAGCTCTCATTTCAACTCCTTCATATTACTTATTACTAGAAATATTACTGTTCGGGTCAAACAGCACCGGATACGGAACACCTGCTCGTAATTCGGGACTGTGGAGAATTTCTGAGGACGTGTGGTCAGCCCATCTTTCTGTCATCCAGCTAACGTTAGCTCCAATGCTAGCGTTAAGCCAATTAACCGCAGCATTAGCCTAGCAACTGTGTTTCTGGTAGCGGTGCAGCTGTCAGTGTCATTCCGCTCTTATCTGCTATAAAGTGCATACATACCGTTGTAGACTGCGCGACTCCGCCAGCGCTTCCTTTCAGTGTCTGCGCTAACGTTTGCACACTGTCTCCATTACTGTGGAGGGATCGTCGCGATAACAACACAGGAAGAGCGCCTCGCTTCCGGTGGTTCTGGCCAATCAGCGCAGACCTGCGTGGTTCGGGTTACGTCCCACAATGGCATTAAAGTGACAGTAACACAAAACAAGCTGCATCACACTGCATTTCAGCTTTATTTCTCATTGTAATAATCACATTACAATAACATAATAATTGAAACACAAATAAAAATAAATAAAAACATGCCAGGGGTCACGAGCAAAGAAAAATTAAATTGAATTAAAGATATTGAAGTGGGAGCACAGTCTCACAGTTGTGATAGCTTTTTTGTTCTTAGCAGAAGATATCGACTTGAAATACAACTCCAGTTCTTTCATAAAAACACAAAAAAGAGGTTTCACTTTGGCAAATTTACATTTGTGGATGTAAAACTTATTTTATAATTATTATTATTTAATTATAATGAGATTAATTAAATAAAATTCTTTTTCAACTGAAATGTCACTCTTTAAAAAAACAAAAAGCACATTCTGCAAAAGGAGACTAAAATAAAAAGAAAATATTATTACACTGACAGCTACACTGGCCTTTGTGTGGGCAACTCATCACCAGGCGTGGGGAGTAAGAGTTACAGAAAAAATATGTAATCAGATTACAGTTACATTTAGTTAAAAAAGAGATTATTTAGCAGGATTTTCTTTAAAAATACATCAGAGGACACATTGTTGATGCAATCTTCTTTTCCATTCCTATCTTTTTTCTCAAAGGTTACATTGTTCTGTTGTCTTATAAAATACACTTTTTTCTATTGTTTTTATTTACATATTTGGTGTTGAGGTAATCCAAAAGTAACATAAAGTAATCAAGTTACATTGATTTAATATTGAGATACTTGGATTAGGTTACTGGCTAAATTTTTTTTACCAGGTAATTAGTAATTGTATCAGATTCCATTTTTTAAAAGTAATCCTCCCAACCCTGCTCATTACTAGTAATATTATTACTTTCCCCAGTAACTTGTAGTGTAAGAAATTACTAATAAACTAAAATATTAATTACCTCCCCCAAACAATAATTAGTTGCAACATTACTTTTGTTGGCACCCCTCTACCAATCTAATATAGTCTTGTTTTGTCTAAGCCACAGTCCATCCAAAATTCCAAGGCAATGAAATTGTTAGACAATTAAATTGTTAGGCAAATTCAACATATACGAGAACACAAGTTGAACTTCCTTTGAAAGCAGTGTCAAGTAAAAGAGGTCAAAAGAAGCGTATGGAAATTACACTTCCAAACAACACATGAAATTAAATTAATTTAGTTTACTTATTATTAATATTATCATTCTTTATATTTATCTTATTTCCTTTTCATGTGTATGTGTTTTTTTAAATCATTCTAATATGTAATTGCCTTAACCTTTGTTCAAGCTTTGATGTCTGAATGATATCGATGTACATTGAAAACTGAAAAAAAAATGCCCAAAGCCCAAATTGTTCTACCATTAAGAATGCTCTTCGAAGACATAAAGCTTTGTATTTTAAACTCTATAGAAAACTGAGACTCTTATAGCTCAATTAGAGACAGGTGTCTAGAAAGACGTAACATCGACTGTTAAGACAAATATGGCCTGTTTTAGTACTGTAGCAGTTACCCGCGCCAGGTGACAACAACTAGGTTTTTCCAGAGTAACCTACAGAATATCTAGGTAAGTTTCAATAAAATAGAAATTCACAATTCTAACCTAATTATGTAGCTTTTAAAATTTATGGCAGCATTAATTATATGAACACCCAAGGTCAACATTTATTTTGTATGTCTCATGTCCTCGCTGTCTTTTTCAATCAACTAATAGTATTAATAGTACTTCACAGATTGGATGTTATTCCCTTCTGTACAAAACACACTCACAATCATGTTCCACAGACTTTATTTCAGCTGACTCAGGACAGAGAATCTTGACAACACTGTTCCCTTCTTTGAAAACGAGGAAAAAAAACACAACAAAAGCTATGTACAAAAATAAAGTATGCTAAAAAAAAAACATACACAAAAGACATAAGACAAAAAAAAAAAACAGTATTAATGCTTATTTGTGGAGGGCTGTTATAAATAGTTTCAGTATTTATTTGAGCTTTAGTTTGCTTAACTATGCTGAGTATTCAGTTCATGACAAAACCTCTCATGATTTTGTTCATCTGATAATAAGCCAGTAGCACCGTTCTGAGTTCATCCACGACACTGTGTGCCATTTGAGGCTGGACGACATCCCCTCTTAGTGTTTCACATGAATAATGGGGCTTATTGCCTCCATGCAGTGCAAAAAGAAAAACAAAGAGAAAACAAAAAAAATACTAAAAGTCAACACCAACCAGTGAACAATTCAGTCTCATTGCAAATAAAAAGGCTGTCAAGTCTTGCCAAAACCTCTCACCAGGAGAACTTTCAAATGCAACTCTTTCCATTATTGTTGTAATTTCAATAGTAACATTTTTCATACTCTATTTTTTCCACATGTAATATTTTGATCAAATTGTAGCTATGATTGGCAAATACAATCATCTAAGCAGGCAAGTTACCTGAAAAAAGCAGTCCAGCAAAACTAGCCAAACACCAACATACATTTTATGTCAACAAAATGTTGAAAAGGACACACAATTTCTTCATTTCAATGGACGAGTTCTGTTGCATTTTACATTATAATAATATCAGGAACTGAAGACTAATATTGAAAACACTGTCCTTCATTTTTTTTTTAACAAAAAAATATTCATGAAACAAAATGTAACATATGTTATTGTTTCCTCCAGGAGCTGCGCCCCACATTTCCATTAACACAAGTATTAAGTGTAAGCCAGTTGACTCACAGACAAGGCAAAAAGTGAAGGCAGATTAGCAGAAAAACAATAATAATGTAACAGAGCAGGTGAACGAATATGCAAAAACATACTCATGAGTCTGTTTAACATAAACATGTAGCTTAGAAGCCTGCCATATATTGAGTTACAATTATAAATCACTCATATCGACTATGATATAAAAACCATCTCACAAGCAACGTAGACTTTTTTTTTTCCTGCGCTGAGCTGACAATCAAAATCTTGCACATTATGCTGAACCAATTTAAGTCTTTTGTTCTCACTGGCAATTTTGATTGTCACTTTTGGGGGTATAAAGCACATGTTGGTTCCAAAGAGAGTGAATGTAGTTTTTTTTTTAACACCTCTGTTGGTCAATGAGAAGAATTTCTTCAGTCTGTGTATGAGACTGACTTGTCGAGCGTGCTCATACCTCTTTAGTGATCACAAACAAGATGCAACATTGTTTTTGTTGATACGTGTAGCGGTTGTAGTGCATTCTAGAGACAGCTGGCTTGGTCATGTGAAGCACTGAAACACAGTATAGCAATACATAATACAATAAAAGACACTTAATAATTCATTATACAGTGTATGTACAACTTTGTTCAAAATGCTCACGTTAACGGACTCTGTCATAACTCTTTCTTTTGGACTTTGTCTTTGCCTTGCGGCTGTTTCTTTCAAAAAATTAATTTATTATATATCAAACATTTTACAGATTTATTCCATCTCTTTCATCCCTATCCTATTTAATTTATATTTCAGGTTTCCTACATAGCCATAGTGGTCAGGTGCTGATGCCCAAGCAGCCCTTTGCGCCCTGCTCCCGCCCCTGGGTGCCCCCCTCCGTTGCCATGGCCACAGTATTCTTGCAGGTTCTGACGCAAAGTAACCAGTGCAGAGCCCAGACAGGCACGATTTGGAGCCAAGACACCCCCAGGCAGCTGGAAGAGGACAGTGGCCACCCCAGCCATGCCGTCATCTGTGGGCTCTAGGGTGATGGGCCCGACCTTAAAGGTTGAATAGGAAAAGCCCATCAACTGAGAGAGGAAGGGGTCGGAGCGGCAAAAGTGCTGGTAGCCGCTGTACGTGGATGGGTGGTGATGGTGTGAGGCCGGTGTGCCAGCTGTGGTGCTGGCATAGTGGTGGGTGTTCAAGTAGTGCAGCGGCAGGTGCTGGCCGCCGTTGCCCCCTCCACCCAGGGTGAGGTGATGGTGGTGATGGGCTGTGGGTCCAGAGCCCGGGTCATGTTTGTAGGAGACAGCCCCTGCCCTACCCCTCTGCCCTACCACCACTCCTCCTAACTTGCTCGTGCGGGCATGAGCAAGAGATACAGTGCTGCCCCCCACCCCTCCACCAGCTGACGGCAGGTAGATGAGCTGAGGCTCCTCCGGCTCAAGGTATATGGTGAGTTTAGCAAAGGGCCTAGACGCCATCTTGGTCATCTCCTGGATGTGGCGACGCTGCTCCCGACGGAAGTCCAGGAACTGCTTAACCTTCCACAGGAGGACACAGACAGACAGGAAGAGGAAAAAGCAGGAGAAGAAAACAGAGAAGAAGACGAAAAGGTCGATGTGGGCTTGGTCCTGTCGCAGAAACAGCAGGCCCTGGGACTCTCCCTGCCTCTCGCCAGTTCCCACACCTCTCAGAGCGATGTAGAAACGGCTGGATTTCAGGGAGTGCACCTCATGAGGGAAGGTGATGACCACACGATCTCGAACACTGCGGACAATCAGCACTGTCTGTGGTTTCCACACAGTGATGTAGGAGATGAGTCCTTCAGCCCGCTCCTCTATAATTTCTCTCTCTGCCCCCGGGGATTTTGCTTGCAGCTGTAGTGGGTTGTGGGAGAGCACAGGACCCCCAAGACTGGATGAGGAGTTGGCAAACACCTTAATAGGGGATGGAGGTGAATCCTTATCTGCACCAGTTGCTGTCCCTCGAGTCGCTGATTCCTCCTCAATCTTGATGTTGTGAATCCCTGTGTACCGGTCCACATCCACAATAAAGGTGTCATGGGAGTTGGACACATACACCTCCACCTCACCAAAGGTAACGTCAATGGTGACCCGAATATCCACATTGGTGAACTTTGGCTGTGCAGCGAAAAAGACGGTGCGCCCCTTGGGCAGGTTTCGGATGGTGGGATCATGGAAGCAGTTGGTCTGCGACGTGGG